TATTTCATTCTGAAATAAAATCTTTATAAAACCTTATTTGTTTTTTAAACTTTTGTAATTACTTTTTCATAATTTTATATGAAAGCAATTTGTATATTTGCAGTCCACAGAAACATTACGAGGAAATTTGAAGACTTATAAGGTATCTCTCCATAGAGAATATTTCAACACTTCCTAAAGGTGTTCAAATTCTTTCTTCAAATCAAATATGTAATGTTATAAAGAGTTATCATACCTGTTACGAAAAGATGATAATCAAATCATTGAGAAAGACATTAAATGACATTTATTTCCAAACTACTGGAGAGGTTTTAGCCTAAATGTAGTGGTAGAATCTTTTAGCTCATGGGTTACAGAACTTATACAAATAGAGAGGATGACCCGCCTAGAGGCTGAGAAGCTAAGTACATCTGAAGTTTTCATTGGCTGATAGCGCTCAAACTAAATACATTACTCCCTTAAAAAAGTGCTTGCTCTGGATGGTTTTTCAAGGTTAAGGTCATTGTTACTATTGGTTGCCACTCAATAACTAGAACTGTAAGCCAAAGGCTAACTAATACCCCCGCTGCTATTTAAACCAGAACTGTAAGTTAAAGGCTTACTAAAGCAAAGCATTGCAAAGCAATCCATAGTCTCCCATAGTATGAAGTATCTGCACAAAGGGGCATACCTCCATTACAAAGGGTCGAAATCCCAAATTAAAATGCCGATTCACAACTACATAAGATACCGATCGTTCATGCAAAATTTCAATGAAATCCACTTGTTAGTTAAGGAGGAGTTGTACTGACAAGTTTTTCTAACAAAAGGGGCATAACTCCATCAAAAGAGTCGAAATCCCAAATTAAAATGCCGATGCACAACAACAAAAGATACCGATCATTCATGAAAAGTTCCAATGAAATCCACCTATGTGTTAAGGAGGAGTTGCACGGACAAGTGTTTCGCCTAAGGGGCATACCTCAATCAAAAGGGTCGATATCCCAAAATTAAAATGCTTGTGCACAACTACATAAGATACCAATCAACCTGTTAGTTAAAGAGGAGGAGTTGTGCGGACAAGTATTGCGCACAAAGGGGCATAACTCCATAAAAAAGGGTCGAAATACCAAATTAAAATGCCGGTGCACAACTACATAAGATACCGATCATTCATGCAAAGTTTCAATGAAATCCACGTTAGTTAAGGAGGAGTTGTACTGACAAGTATTTCGAACAAAGGGGCATAACTCCATCAAAAAGATTCCAACAACAAAAAATAACGATCGTTCATGAAAGGTTTAAATGAAATCCGCCTGTTAGTTAAGGATGAGTGTTTCGGGCAAGTGACTGTGGACGACAGACAGGGTTATTCCAGTATACCCAAACCCTAACTTCGTTGCGGGGGTATACTAATATTAAACATTTGATATAGCGCCCTATCTAGCTAGAATAAGCCACTCTAAAGCACTTTACAGTACATAGATCAACAATGAACACAATTAGCATATACATTAATCAATACAATTTTGTCGAATTCGCAGGAGCTGCCTTATCAGGCGATAACTACTAGTCCTATTTCACCTGGCTAATATCTACCAATGAGTGTATGCCTGTGTGTGTGCTGGATATGTATTGTGTTCTGTTTGTATTAGGACTGTGCTTCCAGCAGCACAATTAATAGTGCCTCCTCACTTGAATGCTACAGCATCGATACCGCAACACCAACCCCAAACCATTTTATACTCAAACTGGATTGTTGGAGTTGTGTGGGCAGGAGAAAAACACTTTCTCTGAATATTCCATGTTAACCACTCGACCAATCTGTCCATTTATTTTCATGCACTGCTTCATCTGGAAAGCGGTTGCTTGTGACTGTTTTTAATCAGAATTTCAAAAGTCAATATCATTTGCTGTAGAAAACAATAGGGAGTCAGCCCAATTCATGTTGGACAATAAAGCGTGTACACTGTTATCAGAAATCCTAGCTTGGGATAGCTTTTTGAGGTCCAAATCTCAAAAGTCCATGTCACTTTTGTCATGTC